ACAATACTGTACAATAAGTCCCGCAAAATAAATCACTATTTAAAAAACAAACAAGCAAACAAACAATTGTATAGTGATAAAGTTTACTTTTCCCAACTTTGTTTCTGTGTATTATTATTATTGTTATTCATATTTGTCTCTATTTAGGCTCGATTGTTTGTGTACCGTTATGTTGAGCACATGTCTGCATTGTTATATCAATAGAGAGAAAAAAAATTATAAATGAGGGACACAGAGGAAAAAAAAGGAAGAGACAGTAATAGAATACAAAAAGAGGGGAAAAACATCAACAGACAAAAAGGCAGAGAGAAAACAGAGAGCGAGTCAGCAGGAGTTTCACAGGAATGAAGCCTGAGGCCAAGCCAGTGAGGTGTAAGTAGCTTTAGAATAAACATGAGCTGCATGTAAACAACAACCTGCCACTACAAGAATTGGTTACACACCCACACAGGCCTGGTGGGGTTCTGGATTCACTGATGTGTGTTTGTATTTGTGTGTGTCATATACTTGGGTTTCCCTGGGGCTGAAGAGCCTTGCCTGTCATCCTCCCGTCACTCGTCTCTCTACCCACTTACATCCATAAAGCCTGTCATGTTGATCAAGTAGCCGCAGGCCTGAAGCCTTTTGTGATTGTCAAAAGTGTACATGTGAGTGTTTGACTGTATAATTATAGCCCGACTTTCTGTTTGTGTCTGCAGCATACAACAGAACACCAGCGTATAAATGGTCTGCCATGAATTCAGGGGATATTGTGTTTTGTGTGGCTCAATGCATCAGTCTGACCTGTTTATTATGTAGTCAGAGTGCAAAGAGAAGAGGGAGGGACTTCTTTCTTCTCCAGGATCATTCATGAAGGATGGCTTTCATGTTCAGGGCAGAATGACAAGCTGAGACTTCTGTGGAGTCACAATGACAGAGGATGACTGTCAAAGTTACATACTGTGTGCACAAGTCCAAATGCAGATCCTCTGAGAACATTAACACGGTGCTGACCTTTCTATATTGACTGCTTTGTATCAGGATCTCTGAACTGCTGTGTCCAGAGAGTACCGGAAAATTCTCAACTTAATTTAGATCAAAAACTTAATGAAGTTAAGCTGCTGCCTTTTCCACTTACCATTAGAATATCGTATTTAACTCGTATTATAAAAAAATACCAGCTGATGTTATTGCTTTTTTGTTAAAAATTACAAAAAAAAAAACTTTACAAACCCAGAGTAAATCATTTTGCCAGAAATTGCTCAGAAAACAAAATTACATAACATGAGAATAGATGTAATGCCCAGTAGGAAAGCAGTAATGTTTAAAAGTAATAGATTACTTAAAATAAAAATACTAAAATAATATTAGGAGTAGAAAAGTATAAAGTGATACTAGCAACCATCATGAGGATGTAAAGTTATATCACATGTAATGATGAAATGTTAAAGAAACAGTTCAATACTTTGCCATTTTGCAAAGGGGTTAGATGGGAAATTTGATACTACGCTCATGTCTGAGCAGTATATATGACGCTACAGCCAGGAAATGGTTAGCTAACTTTAGTAGACTGGAAAAAAAGGGGGAAACCGCTGGTACAGCTCTGTCCAAAATTTGCCTGGCACATTCTATAATGTGTTGTTCAATCTGTACAAAACGTCCAACGTGGACAAACAACAAGTTGCAGTTGTAAAGGGGCATTAAGTGATGGACTATTTCTGGGCTGTAAGTGACTTTTAGGCAAGCCACTTCCTTCGGTTTCTAGCTTTGATGCTAAGCTACCTGGCTGCTCAATCATTTATAATGTACTGACATAAGAGTGGAACCAATGCTCTTGTTTGATTCTTTGCAAAAGTTTGCAAAAGGTAAAAAAAAAATTTAGGTTTTAGCTGTTGCCAGAGTCACATTAAATTCTACCTCTGACTCATGCTTAAATACCACTCTGAAAAGTAGAGATTCACCTTCTCTCAAAAGCTTTAAGTGCAGCAAGATGAGAGGTCAAACCCCCAGAGTTCAGCTGGTGTTCTGAAGAACTGTGTAACTTTTAATTAGAAAATTTCCATATGATTTTTGTCTTGGTTCATACCTGCACCTTTGTTCTGTTTTTTAGTTAACTGACCACCCACAGGCTACTGTCCACCCTGTGACGAAGCTGCAAACTGCCAGCCTTCAACCAGGTGTTTGCTGGGATCCAAATCTGAAAAGCGGGTGGAGAAAATGAATCAGTGATTGAATGAAGTTGCATTTGATCAGCGTGCCTGATGCAATAAAAGAAAACTCTTTTTGAAATGCAATACTGTTCCAACTGTTTGTTTGCTTGCGGTGCCACCTGGTTCCTGTCATAATTTAATGTGTCCATCATCTGAACAGAAGGCTAAATTCGCCTAGAAAAATAAATCTCACCTTGCAGGCAGGCTTTCATGAAAAAGTGAAATTGTGACTAAGGACACCGAAACATAACATATACTCTCCCTTCATCTCTTTGTAACATCATCCTCTTTTAAACCTTTGCCTCTCTGCCCAAACTCTGTCTCCAACACATTAACAACCTCACAGGTGTGCCCCACAACCCACCCTCCAGGACCCTGGGGCCCAATAAGCAGTCATCTGCAGACAACCTCATCCAGCATGCTTCAGCAAACATAGGTAGAGTGTGGTTGAGTGTGTGTGTGTGTGTGTTTGAGCGAGAGAAGAGACAAAAAGGGGAGGTGGAGACAGTTCAAGGGCACGAGTACTCCATCAAGCTCGAGTCCAGGGAATATCCACCAGCTTCCCCTCCCTGTGTGTGCACCCGGCCAGCACTGAACCCCCCCCCCCCATGCACACACCTACAGTACAGCACACCTATTATCGCACACAAGCTCCACACTCCTCAGTTTTGATTTGACCCTCCTCGATGTGGCAGCCCCAGCCGTCTTGCCTGTGGCCCTGGCTGACTCCCAGCTCTGGTGTGGGTGGTTGGGTGGGGTGGCGAGGGGATTTGGGGGCACTGAAGCTGTCCTCTGGTGCTCCTGCAGCCCTGCCTGCTCATCCATCCTAGCCTGCCAACCCACAGATCGATAGCTCTGCTCTCTTAATCAGGTCTCTGGTGACTGTGGGCGGACGAGTGTGTGCGTGTGTGTGTGTGGACAGGAGGTTGTATCGGCTGGGGGTTGCACTTGTATTTCTTTCCATCTTCAGTTCTCTGGCTGTTCATCATGACTGTTTATCTCAAATGTATTATAGTGCCTCCTTCTCTCTTCCTCCTTCTTCTTTATCATCAAATCCACTGCATATCACTTACTCAAAACCCTATGTTGACTTTTTTTGTGTATGCATCTTCATTTCTTTCATCTTTCTTTCTCTAGCCAGCTCTTGTTAAGGATCCAATCTTTCTGACAGTCCTGCTTTATATTTTTTCTCCTCTCTGCTCCTCTGCTTTCATCTCTTCACACAGTCTGTCTATTCTGGCAGCACGCCAGGGCTCATTCAAAAGGACTCTCACAGTCAAGTTGGTCCTGGTGCCACTGCAATCTGTTGTGACTTGTGCTGAAGACAGAAGAGGCAAACTATTGGAGGAATGGAGATGAGAAAAGGATGAGAGGTGAGAAGAGCGAGAGGAGTGAGAGGGTTAGTCAGATGGAGTGCGGGGCATCCAGCTGTGGTGTTGTGCCTTTCTAGAGAATCCACCTTCAGGCTCTCATCACACCTGTGTAACCACAGCTGCAAAGACATACACCCATGCACAGTGAAAACAAATGTAGTAACACCATTTTACAGGAAAAAACAGTAAACAAAACTAGCTGTGAGGTGTTTTTTTTTTATTAAAATTTTATACAACTTTTTATTTTTCAGATAATCACCATCATCATTGTGGGTACATTGATAAGAAGCTAGTATAGACCAGCAATGTTTTCTAAGATCATCTCCTGTCCTGCCACCACACTGTCTTGTGTTTTGTCTGGTGCAGGTGAAAGTAAATATAATCCCTAACTGCGGTCACACCATCCCACAATAAAACAGTCACTGTGCATTCTCCGATCACATCATTTTTTTTATAAATAATACATCAGAACTCAAGTACTCAAGGAAATCATACCAAAAGCTGTGGCTGTGTTTGAGTTTTTTTTTTTAATCAGAAAATCAGCTCACAAATCAGAAGCTAAACCTAGCTGTTCCCATTTCATAAAGGCAGATTGAACAATCAAAGAAATATCACATCTCATTCCAGTCCTTTGCTACATATTAATCATATACAGTATACACTATATATTATTATTTTGTTGTTGCAGTTACTACACAAGAGATCATCAAAGTGCCACACTCAAAACTGAACATCCCAAAGGCAAACCATGAAAATTCAGCACAATTTTTTTTGTTTTCCAAAAGCTGCCTCATAAACATTTCCAATTAGCTTACCTTTGTTTTGCAGCTGTGAACAAAACTGGAGTTTTTAGTATGAATACTTACTTTTGGAGAGTTTACTGCATACACTTAAGTGGCTATGAATTCCTATAGTGTGTAAATCCACATCGTTCTTCACACCTACTGACAACTTTTTGCAAATTGCTCGTCTTTCACATTTATTTTAGTTATTTAATTTTTACCCACTGTTTTTGATGCCACTTCAGTTAGTTTTGATTTATTCAATTTTTGATCAATTAGGTGGCAAACCATTTGTACAAGACTTTCTGCTCTGTTGACAGGGTTTTGTTTTCTATTATTTCAAGCAGGGCTGCAAGGTGGAGCGGTGGATAGTATCATTGCAAGAAGGTCACTGCTTTGCATCCCGGTGAGGACACCCGGGATCTTTCTCCATGGAGTTTGCATGTTCTCCCCATGCAGCGTGGGTTCTCTCTGGGTTCTTCAGCTTCGTCCCACAAGGTCCAAAAACATGTTGAGGTTAATTTGGGATTCTAAATTGTCCATAGGTGTGAATGTGAGTGTGCTTGGTTGTCTGTGTCTAAATGTAGCCCTGTGATAGACTGGCGACCTGTCCAGGGTGTCCCCTGCCTTCGCCCTAAGTCAGCTGGGATAGGCTCCAGCCACCCCACCCCCCACCTCTAGTGAGGATTAAGTGGTGTACAGATAATGGATGGATGTTTTCAAGCACATAACATAAACTGATTCCTTCCAGAACATTTACTCAGAAACCAAAGGAAGAATGACTGGGACAATTGATATTCAGTGTAATAGAATTACCTTTGCCGCAGTGTTTGCAGTATTGATTAAAAAACCTCAAAAGTTAGATCACTTTCCATGAGATGTTTATCCATTATTTTGAATTTCCTCTAAATATTTTCCTGTTTATCTGACCAGAAGGCCACAGCCAGGGACTGATGTACGCCTGCAGTTCTTTAACCAGGAACCTGTATGTTGTCATACACATCAAAGTTGTCTAGTCATGTAAAAAAGTGTCGCAGGAGGTCCTTCTTGTTGACCTTGCCCATCTGATTCCTCGGCATCTCCTCCACCAGCACCAGGCCTGTAGGAATGGTGTAGGGCGCCATGTGCTCCCTGCAATAAACACTCATGTTAATACACTGACGATTGTTTAGAACGGAGGTACACACACAGACTAAACAAAGGAAGACATGCACAAGGACACACATAACACTGACAGATCCCCCATCACGGATAGGAAACATGCACACATGCACATATGCGAAAAAAAGAAAACAAAAACAGAAAACAATTGCAAAACAAAGGCTAGCTAGCCCTGTGGCAGAGTAGTCGAGATAAGGAAAGAAATGTCCTTCATACACTCTGCAGCTCTCCTCCCTAATATCCCCAGTTTGCCTTCCAGACACAGACGATTCCCTTTGTACAAAAGAATATAATCACTGTGAGATGAAATAAAAACAACAACAACAAAAAACAAATACTAAAAGTAAAAACAGAAGGCTGGGATAATTAAAAGTGTTTTATTTTTTCCATTTTGAGTGCTTGGTTGTTACGTCAAGTCTTGAAGCCTGGAGCTTTTTTTATTATCTTCTAACCTAGTTGGTTTGTTTGCTTGTTTGTGCGTATGCATTGTGCGCGCGTGTTCCTGTCTGCATTCCTGTTGTGCAAGCGAGCATAATGACTCATACGGTTGCCATCAAACACCCCTTTCAGCAGATGTCTCCGTCTCTCTGACTCAGTGAGTAAAGTGTGAGCGAGTATATGTGCATACATACATGGCTCTGTAATGTGGCTCGCTCGTGTCAACAATTTCTCCAGGGCAGTGCGTTAGTGTGTGTGTGTGTGTGTGTGTGTGTGTGTGCGTGTGTGCGTGTGTTGTGTGTGTGCGTGTGCGTGTGGGGAAACGTGTGTTGGAGGCATTGTGGGGCACAGAGGGTGTGACAGAGATTCAGACTGACAACTGAAGCCGGGGTACTGAAGAGTGAGCATCTATCTACTTGTTTATGTCTCATTTTATCTCCTTTGTCGCCACCCCCTACGCCCTGGCCTCAGCAGTGGACTGTTTGCCGGCACTACCTGTCTGCTGGCAGCACCCCTGGCTGCAAACACTGTGTGTATGTTTTTAATGTTTTGTGTTTGTGTTTGTGTGTGTGTGTGTGTGTGTGTGTCTGTGTGTGTGTGTGTGCATGCGTGTGTGTGTGTTAACCTGGATTACAGACTGAAGCAGTAATCTACCACACTGGACCAGTAGACTGTAGGTAGGATCTAACATCCTCACACATTATGTGGAGCTCACAGTCCTGACACGCACGCATACAAAGTTGCACAAACACACAATGTTGCATGCACATGCAGTTACACACATGCACACCAGGAACTGCACTTATACAGAATTCAGAGATGTGAATAAATGACACTGGTAGGTTGTAGAAAGGATTTTGCAGAGGACAAAAACAGGTGGCGGGAAAGTGGAGAAAAAAGGTGGAAAAATGAATACATTTTATGAAAATGGACGGAGGAATGTTTGTGTCATTGCAATGTGGAGGGCTGCAGGTCACCAGTAACTGTCTGCAGCAGACAAAATAAACTTTGCAGACATTTAGAAAAGGGGTGCGCGTGGGGAAAACATGATCTCTTAGGACAAAGCCCTCCATAACAATCATTTGCTTGCTTCCTCCACATCTTCCTCTTTTTCATCTCCTGTCTTTCCTTCTGCTCCCCTCATTAGTCCATCTCTGGCCTCTCTTTCTCTCACATCCTCTCCTATTGATCTAAGGACTTTGGGGCCGCTCACTGGGGATATGTGTGCTGAACTGCTCGGAGAGCTGCAGAGTCTGAATTAGGAGCCTCCATTTGGTTGCCACAGGACTGACAAAGAGCTGCGGAGAATGTCTTCTTGAATCAGTGTAATAAGATTTTACCCACACGCTCTCAGCGCTCCTTTGCAATAACGGCATAAGGTGCATTTACTCTGTATGGGGGTGTTATTTTTTTGTGTGTGAATTCAGGATGATGGATTGGTTGTAACTTATGCAGGTCACAGTCTCCGCTGGTGGTACCGCTTTGGAGTCAACCTGTGGTCGCAAAGCACTTTCAAAGGTGGCAGGTGGTCCAGTGGTTAGTAGTGTTGCCCTTTCTGGTTGTTAAGTCTAAAAACAACATTGTGCTTAAAAAAAAAAAAAAAAAAAAAAAAAAAAAAAATTGTGTTTCAATTATATTCCAAGAAACACCAGGTCAGAATAATATATCCATGAGTTTTATGCTTTATTAGGCACGACAGCATCACACAGGTGACTTAAAACAGTATGAGAAAGAAATTTATAACCTTGAAAACTTTTATTTCTATCTTCAGCATAGAACAACAGTAAAACATATTAGGTTTCAAAATAAAAGCAGCAAAAATGTGAGATGCTTATGTTTTTGTGACCTGATATATATATTACTCTACTCTCTCCTTTGTGTCGCAACATTCTTTGTTAAATTTCGATTAAACCACATCAAATCAAATTTATTGTCATTTTGCTTTACAAACACAGTAGTACAGGCAAGATGAGAGAGCGTTTCTTCAGGATCATTTAATTAGTAAGTTTTGCAGAATGCACTTTTGGAATAGGCAAGACACTAAACGTTCACTCTTGCTGTCTCCTAAAGGTGCCGTTGCGTCCATGTGTGCCACCATCACAATCACATTTACACTTTAAGTTGTTGTTTTACGTTGCGGTTTATTTCATTTTAAGTTGCTGTTTTATAAAACTGTTTGTTCTATTTCAACCTACAATTAGGTGTGAGACTGGGCTGTTATTCTCCTCTACAGGCACAAAGCAAACAATGTGTCTACACTATTCACATCGCAAAGCTCAAGCACTGTTAAATTGTGCTTCTACCAAGAATATGGACTTGCATGATTTTAATTGGTGAACATAGTACATAGTTGGATAAAACTGCACTGCTGTGATGTTGAGGAAGGTTTAATTTCTTTCATTGACGATCTATTTGCCTAAAATGAATGAAGGGGCTTTTTTCTTGCTCTGTCGCTATGAACACAACCTTTGACTGAAGAATACAAGTTGTATGTTTAAAAGTTTCTTATCTACTTCAGTGCCTGTGAGTAAAAAAAAAAAAGGAGCCTATCAACCTATCATATTCTGCAACAACTTCTGTCATCACGTGTTGCTAACCCTGCAGCCAATAAAGACTAATCAGTGGGAAAGTTTTAGCTTCATTTTCAAAGCAAGTATATAAAACATAACTCCAATTTTGTTCAAGAGCTAGCAACAAGCAGTGTCTGCAAAGTAAGGATTATTGTGCTAAAAAGTTACGGTACCTTGCCCACGTCTTCAATGCTGGCAAGGTCATCCTCCGCCCCTTCTTCAGCTGTACCACAGCGGTGACTTTCTGACCCCATGTTGCATCTGGTGCCCCAATCACAGCCACATCTAAAAAAAAAAAAAAAATACATCACATAAACTAGATTTGTTGTTTTAAAAATTCAACCACTTACTTCCTTTTCTTTGCAGTGCAGTGCAAGGACAAAAACACTTTTTTTTTTTTTTTAGCTGTGTCATTCTTCCGCACACTGGTTTTGGAAATAAACAGTGACATTGTATTTCAAGGTGCTGACGCTTATCTTTAATTTGGTGGCGCTTCCATGCACAAAAGCTTAACAATGCAGACATTTTTCTAAAGAGTATATCCATTTTAGGGTTCAGTCAAAATCATTGCAGTGTCATAAAAACTTCCTCAGCTGCCTTGTCACAACACCTGTCCTGCAGGAATGTCTCACAACTGTGGGATTACTGTATACGCTGGATAAAAAGGAAATACATCTCCTACAGGAATGATTGTGAAATTAACCTGAAGCTGATCTCGTACTGAGTGGTTCAGAAATGGGTCAAAACAACTAAAAGTTCCCCTCTGTCGACTACTTACATACTAAACAGCGCTCTTACCTATGATGTCTGGATGAGCCAGGAGTTGACGCTCCACCTCGAGTGCACTGATCTTGTAGCCGCCACTCTTGATGATGTCAACGCTGCTGCGGCCCATAATCCAATAAACACCGTCTTTATAGACTGCCGTGTCGCCTAAAAGTCATACAAAGACAGAAGAGAGTCATCAATATGGGGGGAAGATGCAGTTATATTTTTTCTTTATGAGGAAGTTAGGCAATGGATGGATTGACTAAAGAAACAAATGAGTGTTTTTGTTTTCTTTAACAAAAAAAACTAAGCACTCTTTGGATTCTCAGTGAAAATATAGGTAAAAATCAAATAAACTCAACAAAAAAGACACAGATACAAGGAATGTAGGGTAGGTAAACCTGGTTAAATATAAGGTGTGTGTCTATAAACATGCATGTGTGTTTGAGACATAGAAAGTCAGAGTGCACGGGATGAATAAGTGTTTAAGATCCCTCCGCATCCCCCAGACGCACACCCACCACCTGCTCACATACATAGGTGTCTGAGGGGACAGGTGTGGGGGAGGAGGATTACAGTATGTGGGATGAGGGGCACAGCTGAGCTCAGGGATGACGACTGGAGAAAATGGGTCAGTATGGATGAGTGGAGAATGACGGAGGGAGAAAAAAATGGACAGAGGAGGGAAGGAGAGGAGGGAAGAGGAAGATGTCTTTTTGGATTATTAGAAGCAGTCCACAGCTGGTAGCAAAGGAACGGATGCATGTGTGATGACACCGTCATGAAGTTAAGCAGGGTTTCGGTTGGAGAGTTGGGCTGAGAGGTCAGTAAAGGTCAGGGACATGGGACAAGCCTCTGTCCATGTCTGTCGACATTTAAGAGGTTTAATGATATGAGGACGAGTTTTCATTTCACACACACACACACACACACACACACACACACACACACACACACACACACACACACACACACACACACACACACACACACATAT